TTATGATAGAGGGCTGTGAGACTTTGACCTGAGTGCAAAAATGGAGGCTCTAGACCCTTCCAGAGCTGAGATATCGAAATTCAAAATTTCGACCCGAAAAAAAAAACGACAGTGTTACCCCTTTTGTTTTTTTTCATTTTTGGGCGAAAAATTAAGTTTCTCCAATCTTCTCAAAACTCTGGATTATGATAGAGGGCTGTGAGACTTTGACCTGAGTGCAAAAATGGAGGCTCTAGACCCTTCCAGAGCTGAGATATCAAATTCAAAATTTCGACCCGAAAAAAAAACGACAGTGTTACCCCTTTTGTTTTTTTTCATTTTGGGCGAAAAATTAAGTTTCTCCAATCTTCTCAAAACTCTGGATTATGATAGAGGGCTGTGAGACTTTGACCTGAGTGCAAAAATGGATGCTCTAGACCCTTCCAGAGCTGAGATATCAAATTCAAAATTTCGACCCGAAAAAAAAACGACAGTGTTACCCCTTTCGTTTTTTTTTCATTTTTGGGCGAAAAATTAAGTTTCTCCAATCTTCTCAAAACTCTGGATTATGATAGAGGGCTGTGAGACTTTGACCTGAGTGCAAAAATGGAGGCTCTAGACCCTTCCAGAGCTGAGATATCGAAATTCAAAATTTCGACCCGAAAAAAAAACGACAGTGTTACCCCTTTTGTTTTTTTTCATTTTTGGGCGAAAAATTAAGTTTCTCCAATCTTCTCAAAACTCTGGATTATGATAGAGGGCTGTGAGACTTTGACCTGAGTGCAAAAATGGAGGCTCTAGACCCTTCCAGAGCTGAGATATCGAAATTCAAAATTTCGACCCGAAAAAAAAAACGACAGTGTTACCCTTTTGTTTTTTTTTTCATTTTTGGGCGAAAAATTAAGTTTCTCCAATCTTCTCAAAACTCTGGATTATGATAGAGGGCTGTGAGACTTTGACCTGAGTGCAAAAATGGAGGCTCTAGACCCTTCCAGAGCTGAGATATCAAACTTCAAAATTTCGACCCGAAAAAAAAACGACAGTGTTACCCCTTTCGTTTTTTTTTCATTTTTGGGCGAAAAATTAAGTTTCTCCAATCTTCTCAAAACTCTGGATTATGATAGAGGGCTGTGAGACTTTGACCTGAGTGCAAAAATGGATGATCTAGACCCTTCCAGAGCTGAGATATCAAACTTCAAAATTTCGACCCGAAAAAAAAACGACAGTGTTACCCCTTTTGTTTTTTTTTCATTTTTGGGCGAAAAATTAAGTTTCTCCAATCTTCTCAAAACTCTGGATTATGATAGAGGGCTGTGAGACTTTGACCTGAGTGCAAAAATGGATGATCTAGACCCTTCCAGAGCTGAGATATCAAACTTCAAAATTTCGACCCGAAAAAAAAAACGACAGTGTTACCCCTTTGTTTTTTTTCATTTTTGGGCGAAAAATTAAGTTTCTCCAATCTTCTCAAAACTCTGGATTATGATAGAGGGCTGTGAGACTTTGACCTGAGTGCAAAAATGGAGGCTCTAGACCCTTCCAGAGCTGAGATATCAAACTTCAAAATTTCGACCCGAAAAAAAAACGACAGTGTTACCCCTTTTGTTTTTTTTTTCATTTTTGGGCGAAAAATTAAGTTTCTCCAATCTTCTCAAAACTCTGGATTATGATAGAGGGCTGTGAGACTTTGACCTGAGTGCAAAAATGGATGATCTAGACCCTTCCAGAGCTGAGATATCGAAACTCAAAATTTCGACCCGAAAAAAAAAACGACAGTGTTACCCCTTTTGTTTTTTTTTTCATTTTTGGGTGAAAAATTAAGTTTCTCCAATCTTCTCAAAACTCTGGATTATGATAGAGGGCTGTGAGACTTTGACCTGAGTGCAAAAATGGAGGCTCTAGACCCTTCCAGAGCTGAGATATCAAACTTCAAAATTTCGACCCGAAAAAAAACGACAGTGTTACCCCTTTTGTTTTTTTTTCGTTTTTGGGCGAAAAATTAAGTTTCTCCAATCTTCTCAAAACTCTGGATTATGATAGAGGGCTGTGAGACTTTGACCTGAGTGCAAAAATGGATGATCTAGACCCTTCCAGAGCTGAGATATCAAACTTCAAAATTTCGACCCGAAAAAAAAACGACAGTGTTACCCCTTTTGTTTTTTTTTTCATTTTTGGGCGAAAAATTAAGTTTCTCCAATCTTCTCAAAACTCTGGATTATGATAGAGGGCTGTGAGACTTTGACCTGAGTGCAAAAATGGATGATCTAGACCCTTCCAGAGCTGAGATATCAAACTTCAAAATTTCGAACCCGAAAAAAAGACGACAGTGTTACCCCTTTTGTTTTTTTCATTTTTGGGCGAAAAATTAAGTTTCTCCAATCTTCTCAAAACTCTGGATTATGATAGAGGGCTGTGAGACTTTGACATGAGTGCAAAAATGGATGATCTAGACCCTTCCAGAGCTGAGATATCAAACTTCAAAATTTCGACCCGAAAAAAAAAACGACAGTGTTACCCCTTTTGTTTTTTTTCATTTTTGGGCGAAAAATTAAGTTTCTCCAATCTTCTCAAAACTCTGGATTATGATAGAGGGCTGTGAGACTTTGACCTGAGTGCAAAAATGGATGATCTAGACCCTTCCAGAGCTGAGATATCAAACTTCAAAAATTTCGACCCGAAAAAAAAAACGACAGTGTTACCCCTTTTGTTTTTTTTCATTTTTGGGCGAAAAATTAAGTTTCTCCAATCTTCTCAAAACTCTGGATTATGATAGAGGGCTGTGAGACTTTGACCTGAGTGCAAAAATGGATGATCTAGACCCTTCCAGAGCTGAGATATCAAACTTCAAAATTTCGACCCGAAAAAAAAACGACAGTGTTACCCCTTTTGTTTTTTTTTCATTTTTGGGCGAAAAATTAAGTTTCTCCAATCTTCTCAAAACTCTGGATTATGATAGAGGGCTGTGAGACTTTGACCTGAGTGCAAAAATGGAGGCTCTAGACCCTTCCAGAGCTGAGATATCGAAACTCAAAATTTCGACCCGAAAAAAAAACGACAGTGTTACCCCTTTGTTTTTTTTCATTTTTGGGCGAAAAATTAAGTTTCTCCAATCTTCTCAAAACTCTGGATTATGATAGAGGGCTGTGAGACTTTGACCTGAGTGCAAAAATGGATGATCTAGACCCTTCCAGAGCTGAGATATCGAAACTCAAAATTTCGACCCGAAAAAAAAAACGACAGTGTTACCCCTTTTGTTTTTTTTTCATTTTTGGGTGAAAAATTAAGTTTCTCCAATCTTCTCAAAACTCTGGATTATGATAGAGGGCTGTGAGACTTTGACCTGAGTGCAAAAATGGAGGCTCTAGACCCTTCCAGAGCTGAGATATCAAACTTCAAAATTTCGACCCGAAAAAAAAAACGACAGTGTTACCCCTTTTGTTTTTTTTTTCATTTTTGGGCGAAAAATTAAGTTTCTCCAATCTTCTCAAAACTCTGGATTATGATAGAGGGCTGTGAGACTTTGACATGAGTGCAAAAATGGATGATCTAGACCCTTCCAGAGCTGAGATATCAAACTTCAAAATTTCGACCCGAAAAAAAAACGACAGTGTTACCCCTTTTGTTTTTTTTCATTTTTGGGCGAAAAATTAAGTTTCTCCAATCTTCTCAAAACTCTGGATTATGATAGAGGGCTGTGAGACTTTGACCTGAGTGCAAAAATGGATGATCTAGACCCTTCCAGAGCTGAGATATCAAACTTCAAAATTTCGACCCGAAAAAAAAACGACAGTGTTACTTACCCCTTTTGTTTTTTTTCATTTTTGGGCGAAAAATTAAGTTTCTCCAATCTTCTCAAAACTCTGGATTATGATAGAGGGCTGTGAGACTTTGACCTGAGTGCAAAAATGGATGATCTAGACCCTTCCAGAGCTGAGATATCAAACTTCAAAATTTCGACCCGAAAAAAAAACGACAGTCCATTGCACACCGAGCACGAAATATTCGTATGCGTATTTTCGTGTTCGTCAGCTTAAAAATTCGTCACGCATAGAAACCTTGCACACCGAGTCCGTTGCGTATTTCTTAAACCTTTGCGGGAAAAAACGCAAAATAGGCTACCAAATGGATTCGTCAAGCAGTGAGGATGATTTTTGCCCTCTCTCTTATTGAAAAGGGAAGAAAGAAAGAAAAATATTACGTCCATCCAATCCTGAAATTGCGCCGAGAGGAAGGAGAGTTCCTTATCAAGGAGTTGCGAATTTATCCTGAGCGATTCAAAATTTACCTCAGAATGTCTGTGGGACAGTTCGATGCTTTGCTAGCGATTCTGGAGCCACATATTAAAAACAAGACCACCAATTTCCGTGAACCAATCGATTCTGAACGGAGACTGGCAGTGTGTCTGAAATGGACCAGGTATGGACACACACACACACACACGGACAAACACACACCCGCGCACGGCCCGTTGGAAGCGCTGGGCAGACAGAACAGCTAGGCTGTTATTGTGTATTGTGCCCAAATAATACATTAGTTATCGAATAGGCTACTCAATCACACCTTATTCGATCCTAAATTTCAATCTGATTGAAAGGGGAGGTTTATTAATTTCATAATCCAATATAGAGAAGAGAACATAAACACTTGATCGAATTGAAAACCGAAACTGAAAGCACGGCGCATATGAATGATTTGAGGACGAGCTCCCCCCGGCCCTGAATTGTCAAAAGACCTCTCACAATGCTGGCTCTGGATGCGAAAAACGCAGAAAATCGAACCCGATCCGATTAATTTTATGACGGACGAAAGTTTCGGAGGCGGTGTGCAAGCGTGACTGACATAACGTGAGGTCGAATTTTTTTTTTAACGTGCGAAAATTTCGGATGCGAATTTCGGACTCGGTGTGCAATGGCCTTAAAACGTCTTTTTTTCCGGCGTCCCCAGCTCCTCGTTTAAGCAAAAGGTACGCTAAAACAACGTATTACATCGACGTTAAACCACGTTAACCGTGTTAACCATAACCTTTTCGACCTAGTTCCGTTGCTTAGCAACGGGAAGAAACTCCTGTAACTTCAGTGCTATTGGTTAAATATGATATCTATGGGTTAAACTCCCACTAAATCCCTGCCTCAGCCCATTCGGAGATGTTGGAGGTAGAAAGGATAGAAGCCTGATAAAGATGTTAATATTAAAGAAAAAGAGGGACTTAGAGGCTGTTGCATCTGAAGTCTTCATATAACATACACCACAGTTTAAAAACATAAAATAAAATTTTTAGAGGTAAAATGGCAGCACAGGTTTGTATGAGCTGTGCCATACTGGTTGTTATTAAAAAGCAAGAAATGTGAACCTAAATAAAGAATAAAGTTGAAATCTGGAACATAAAAGTGCATTGTAAAAAATAATATCATCAATAAGTTACAACATGTTTAAACAATTGTTATAAAAGATTCAACTGTTTTTTTTTTTTTTTTTTTTTTTTTTTTTTTTTTTTTTTTTTTTTTACAGTGTGCCTGAAGTTGAAGAAACACCCGTAAAACAGTCTGGCTATTAGTGTGTCTAAAGGAAGAAGTACATTTTTACCTTCATCCTTCCTCACCAAAGCTTTTCTTTAAGAAATATTGTCAATGGAGGAAAAAAAATGGTGTCAAAAAGTGTCAAATTAACACTTCCTATTGATGCTGCTTTGAAATTGAATTCTTCGGACCGTTAAATCCTATGCTGACCTCAAATAGGGCTATATTAGAATACAGAGACCAAATGCAGACCTTCACCATGCTGGGAAGCAGTATGTTGGAGCGAACCCAACTTTGGAAGCGTGTAGTGGCCCTGAGGACGGCTTCAATGCTGCAGGATTTCCCTTTGCCTGATGAGGTGCAAATGCTATTGTCTGATATCTCGTGCAGGTGAGGAGACATCAATTGGGATAGCACCACAGGTCTCCAGCCCACTGTGCTGTCTGTATAGTTTCCCTCATACGAGCGCACGTCTGCTGAGGAGAGATTAGACTGAGCAGTCAGCCATCTTTCAGACCTGCGGTGAAATCATCAGTGTCCACATTAGCTTCCTGTTTTTGGTTTCACTGCTCATGCTGCCAACTCAGATCAATGATTAGATACTGAAAAGCTGCACATTTGCAGTCAATTTTGTTGTAGAAAAATGTACCCTTTCCATTTCTATTGTTTTATTTTTGAATAGCATGCAATCAATGCCCTTTTTTGTGCATCCGCTGCCAATAGTAGAATACTTTTATATAGGCCTACAAGCAGAAATAGTTGACGAAGCATGTTTAATTGTAATGACTGAGTTTTGTACCTGAATATAGTAGCCTATATGAGGCCTGTATTAGATCAGTGATAATATGCAACTTGTTTTATGTAAGTTAAGTAGCCTAAATTGTTATAAACAGAACATCTTTACTTCAGTTCAATATCTTGACATTTCTGTATTTGGACAGCATAGACGTATCATTTTTTTTCTTCGTATCAAATCTAGATTTAAATTCAAAGAGACTAGTTAAGGCCTGACCATTTTCTTATCCAAACTGAGGCGATGTGAACATTATGGCGCGCGAAACACTAATGTCTGTTTTATTCATACTGGATATAGAGGGCGTCCTCACGCAAAAACCATAGGCAAAAACTCGACTCATAGAAGTCATGACACTTATGACGTTCCAGGAAATCCCTTACATGGTCAAAGGAGAAAAAAAAAAGACAGAATTTTGCCTCATGAAATGTGAAGACAATAAACACACGATTGTGACAATATTCAAGCCATCTCTTAGTATTTTCATAACAATAAAGTAAATGAATAATGCAGTTCTAATTGACAGCCCTTATTACAGTATAGAAACTTTAAAATATATTATTCTGTATTTTTTTTTTTTTACCTTGAATAAAATCCATGATGACTTAATGCACAATGGTTTGTAGGGCATAAACTAATCAATATAGGAAAATGTTACAGACTATAAATAAGTGGTTATCGTTCAATGTTCAGGAGTGCTTTTCAAGGCAATTAAAAGCAGGATATAAGGAAAAAAGAGGAAAAAATGGCATTACACTTGACACTTCTGTCCTCCTCACTTCTGAAACAATGGCTAAGCCCCTGGAGATTTGGATCCTGTAATAATCTATTGCAGTATGAATATCTAAAAAAAAAAAAAAAAATCACTCGACAGAAACTTTGCATAAGTAGGAAATATCTAAGTTTACCTTATTTCATCCTTGAAAAACTTCTTGCAAATGGATGTTCCTATGCAGGCATTGCATTTATCCAAACCTAGGAGGATCCTTCTGAAGTCATGGGATTTCTCCCGTGGTGCTGGTGAGGGTTTTGGACTACCAAGTGCCAGTATGAGGTACAATGTCCAGAGCTCTGACCATATCCCTGCTGCCATTACAGTATCATAAACCCCAGAATCACAGCACCATAGTGGCAGCAGCCCAGTATAAAACCCCTGCAGCCTTAACATGAGCACACCAACACATTAAACAATAATCTGGCACCTCTTCAGTGTTAACCATAGTATATCTGTTATATCCCCTGCACCAAACACCTCACTTAGACAGGAAACACATGGAGAACAAAGATAACCCTTGTCGTCATGGTAATGTTTCCTCCTGCACAGCCTAATTTCAAAGCTGTACATGCAAAGTTTCACTCAAGGAGTTCTTCTGAAATGGCGATTTGAATTCATTTTGTGTATATTATTGATTCCTCCAGCATAACTTGATAAATCCAATTTTACATTTTACAGTTTGCTTTTAAAATTTTAAAAACTTTTTAAATAGGATAATAAAGTCAAAAAATTTGCGATACATCTTTTACAATTTATGTTCATATTATTTAAACACTGAAGCTTAACTGTGTGTTGTTGCAAGATGTAAACAACACTGGTCCAGAAGCACTTCCTGTTTCAGTTTTTTAACACTACACAAAAGCTAACAGAACATATAAAACATGCAAAATAAAGAAAACAGTTACAAACTGAAACAGGAAGTGTTTCTGGACCAGTGTTGTTTACATCTTGCATCAGACAAGGAACCATAACATCATGACATGTCTAATCTAGAATAAATTCAAGACAAGCAAATATTTAAGGTCTACGGCACTTTTTATTTGTTTTTTCTCATTAGAAAAGGAATCATAATTTGAGACAAAATATTACACTTGAATTCACATCAATTCTTTCATCACGTGAAATAATATAGCTTTAGGCTACTTCTTTCAAATGCACTATAGAACCATTTTAATTATTTCAACCAACAACATATGAGATAAAACATGTTATGTGACCAGAGCAAAGGTTTATCTTTGAATAATGTGTGGTGTATAGCCTACTATTTCACATACAGGCTATAAAAGAAATAATAGCCTACCCCAATTGTTGATAGAGTGCGGTTGCTGTCTGATATTGCACCTTTTCTTCAGACAAACTGTTACACAAACCGGGCAATAGATGTCAGTCCTGAGACTGCATTTGACTGAAGATTAAACATTATTCCTGTCACATTAGTCACGCGCATGATTCAGAGTCATAGTTAAACATGCTTTTTTTTTTTTTACTTGAGCTGATTCACAGCTGTACGGACAAATTATTTAAGATTAAAGGAAAATATCAATATGTGGGAGTAATTTCTGGAAGTTTTCTTTGGTCTACTCATCCGACCACAGGAAAACAGGGGTCAATTATTAAGGGAAGTGGAGTAAATTTAACAGTCTCTTATTCAAGTCTGTGTGTCAACGATTAATCATGTAAAAAAAAAAATGTAGGCTATGGTAGTGAAATTGTTTAACATCGAAATAAATAATGTAGCCTAGCCTATTAGACATGGAGGTTGTGAAAAATAGAGATAATAGCCTGTAGATTTAGGTTATTCATTATCCCTTTTTGGTATTTGTTTCTAATTGTGCGTAGGCTACTCAATATGCTTTTCATTAGGCTAATTTAAGTGACGGTCCATTGCAGTTCATTTAGCTAGACTATGCAACGGTCCAAACCACCTTTCTGTTACCATCCCGACATTACTTCTAGGTTTTATAAAACTGCGCCTCGAAGTGAAGAAAGCTCAGAAGCTGATTTCAAGTGCAACATGTTCGTGGATTTTGTTGATCCAGGTGGTAGTCTACAACATTCCAATCAATTAATCAGATTTTTGGGACAAGTTTACAGTTCATGTCAATAGGCTTACAAGTTGCTTCTCAGTCTTATACATCAATTATTTCCCTCTGATTTTAGGGAACTTAGGGTGCAAATTCTAGTGAAGGGCTAGTAGCTAAAGCAGTGACCTGCGCTGAATTGAGAGTGAACAGCTCGTGACTACTCTATATAGGGAGCATAAATAGTCCACTGCACATCTGACTCACTGTGTATTAATCATCAGTATTCGGAACGAGCGGAAACGTAATTTATTGACTAAATGACTCAACCAAATCAGGCTGCTAAATAAAACGGTTGCACTTGCAATACAAATAAACATAACTTTCATAAGAAAAAAAGTGACAATTTTGTAGGCTACGCAAAGCTTAGATTAGATATCATTACTGCTGATAATTATAGATTAAACTATGGCTATCTAGCCGAGTGCGTTATTAGCCTATATCTTTCAGCTACAAACCCATTGTAAATTGTTCTCTTCAAAAGTCTATAGTCACTTAGTCAAGTTGTTATTGCAAAATGTGGTTGCTTAGAATTCAGCATCACAAAATGTATACCAAATGATTCATTATTTTATCAGGCTAGCCTATAGTGCTACTTTTGTAAATTTCACTGCATTTAGCATAAGCCTCTTCAAAAGAATGATCCGTGACTTCGGAAATGGACTTGTCCGTTATTCGTTATTATGGCCCTGAGCTCAAAATTCCCCCAAATACCACTAGCGTTAGTGTTCATGATCTTACTCATGTGTGTGGCATCAGATTATATTTCCCTTAGGGTTAAGGTAAGTGCACATAATAAATCAAAACGTATGCCTATTGTTATAAATCTTTGCTATTAGTATTATGAAGTGAGATCGAAGTAGCCTGCCATTTATTTTGCATGATAGAAAAAAACAATGTGAAGAGGAATTGAGGTTTGAAACACATTTGAGCATAAGATCAGTGTAATTTACCGCCAAAATAACGAATGGCCTATAGACTAGATATTAATTTCTTGAAGTAGGTATACCAATGCTTGCAAGTTTTTTGTAGCCTAGGCTAATTCTAGGCTTTCTTTTCTCTGGGCTGCTCGAGACAATCAACACTATCGCGGCTTCCGTTTAGCGAAAAGCAAATGGATGTCGAGTGGTTCAAACTGAATTAAAGGCTGAAATCTGTGTAGGAACTAAAATAAGAATAAGTAGGTATCTAAATTTATTTGCCTTTGTCTGAGGCACTGTAAAGTAAGTATTGTGGTTTTTGACATAAAAACCACGCGATGGCGGTGTTCACAACTCCAACTGATTTTAGACAATTTAGACAGCTGTATCAGCCTACAAACAAGGAGCCACATGCGAATTGTCGCTGAGAGCTTTAAAAACTTAGTAGCCTATTCATCATGATTATGCAATTTAAGTAGGCTATTTTTTAGCAATAATTAGAATCATGCACGATGCGTTATGTTTTACATTGAAATAATAGCCTAAATGTGGTAAAATAGCCTAGACCTATATGGCTTAAACTTCATTTAATTTGTAGTTGCATTACTTTTTAAGGTGTCATTTCTAATTCATGAGTAAACCGGCAGGAAGTTTTTATGGATGAAAAGTCAGTTCTAACAGGATGGAAAACTTTCAAGCAGCTCACACTTAAAATGTTTGGCTATAGCATAAAAGTAAAAGATGGATTTGTTTATGACATCCCCATACATTACAGATTTTTTGACTCTCTTATATAGGCTAGGCTACCTTCGATAGATTTATGCTTCTGTTGCAATCATATTCAGAGGGCAATAAAGGGTTAGCCTTGTCACACGTTTTACTCTATGCCCTGAAAGCAAGTCCATTTCTGTATTCTGTTGAACTTTTCCACTGCTATTGCGCAGGGGGGAAAGTTAATTTCATTAAACACAAAAAGACCGTTTGTGATAACATCCCTCATCCTACTATCTGGGTTAAGTTGCCTAACTTAACAGTAAAGCAAAAATGAAACAGAAATATAATACACAGAAATCCCAAACCTTTATTTAACAAATATTAATGCAATTGATAAAAAGTATAACATTTGAGACAACTTTCCCGACCGGACATTTAGAAAAACATTCTTGTCTCGAACAGAGTGCAGTCTCTTAGTCCAAGTAAATTATGATGTCGTTGTAATTTTGAAGGACAGAATTCATAAAAATATTGTAATTTAAAAAGGGATTTGAACTATTTAGTTGATACATAACCACTAGAAGCAAAAACCTATTAGTGATTTGAAATATTTGGGATATGAAAACTATAACCTCATAAAGACTGCAGGACAAAATGAATTAGTGAATGCACAAACACTGTCCCAGTCTGAAAGCAACTTCAACTCAAATTCATACTTTAAATATAAGTAGGCTATGTTTAGAACAGATCTAAAAACCGTTATGTCTGTCTGGGTTGTTGCTTCAGCTAAGAGGAATCAGATAGGGTGACAGTTGCAGCCAAGAGTTAAATGCTGGGGTTTGTAGGAAGGTTTGGGTTGCGGTATAGTGAATGAATCAGCATGGCCATGCTGGCACACAAACAGAACACCTTCAGGGTCCCTGTGGGCTCCAGTGTGGTTTCAACCGCTCCTGATCCGGTCCACACGCTCTCGACGGATCTGCCTTCAATGAGTGAGAGGAGAGCCCATATTTGTCCGCTCTCTTCCTACAACGCTTAATTGCTCCCTGTATGAGTCAGTCATTTCTTGTTCACTCGGTTTAGAATACCCCTCGAGTCTCTAGAGTTCAAGGAAAACGAAAGCTTAAAGTTTTACACTGAGATCATGATGAATCAATTGGAGCAGAATTCCTTTATGACTTTTAAGCTTTAGTGAGTGGAGTTCAAGGTTCTTGTCAGTGGAAAACTAAATGTTTTCTCTCTACATTATTTATTTATTAAGTAATCAGTCCGGGTTTGAGGGCTTGTAATGACATCATTGGGACAATCCATCTGTGGCTGATGCCCTACGCCGGCGTCATCATCTGACGATTGCCGTTGTCTTTTATGGCTGTGCTGTTATGTGTCAACAAAGCAGAGAGGAAAGATCCTGTTTCGGACACCTGCAGAAATGACGTACCGATTGACCAGGGTGTGTGTTTGTCAGGCGTATGGGGACTGTGTTTGTTTACTCGTGCAACACACGTTTTGTTGGCAGCACTTTCCCTTCTTTGCTTTATATTACAGTTAATTACTCAAACGACACTTACATGATTGTTTAGTTCATCTCGACGCTGTATTTGCAGAAGTGCAACAGGTTTTCCATCAGTCTGTGGAATTCCCCTTGCACTGTCTATCACACATGAATGTGTTATCAATTGTTGTACGTGTAGGCCTATTTATTGATATTTTGTGTCATGTTTAATTGTGGAAAATGGGATACCCCCCCTTATTTAGATTAAAATAAAGTTTAAAACATGAAAATTTGAACTTTATATATTTTTGTAACAATGGAAAAGTCTTTACTGTCACTTTTGATAAATTTAACGCATTCTTGCTGTAAATACAAGTATTTAAAAACAATCTGACCCCAAACATTTGAACGTTAGTGTATATGATGTACAACAGGCTATAAGCAGACAAATCAAGACCATATCACATGCATTCTGAGTCATTTATTTTGAACGAGCCTGTGTTTTATTTCCAGGTTTATTCATCTTACGTTTGAAACCAGAGTGGACTCATTGCCTGGCTGCTCACTTCTTCCATGTTCCGTCCCTTTAACATTTTAAAGGGGGTCAGTTTGTGGAGGAAGCACTGTCATATCCAGGAGGAAGTATGACTCAGCCGTGTTGCATTTTTCAAGGCTGATTCAGCTTTGCCAAGGAAATGGGGTCTTCAAAGTAGTTTGAACGCCAAGAAAGTGCCATGAAAGTGATCCCTTTTGTGGTCACATTGTGCCGGGTGGCGTATAGGAGTCGTGGCAGTGTCAGTCCAGCGGTGCTCTTAATGGCTGCTGGGGAACAGAGCTGTCACTTATGTGGAGTTGAACATCTAAAAAAGCCTGCGCTGAGAAGAGAGAAACAGAGAAAGACAGAGACTATTCACCGCGGGTCCCCTGAAATTCCCCCCATGCCCTCTCTCGCGCTTTCCTCGTCGGCTCTCGTGTTTCAATGCTTTAGCGTTGCATTTAACTCTTTATACCCCAAAGTCTTGCACTTGAAGCAGAACTATTTTCAATAGTGTTTTTTTAAGCACCAAATCAGCATTTGAATGATTTCTGAAGTATTTTGTGACACAGATTGAAATTAATTAAAACTTATTTTATACTGATTTTACAGATTTAATCAAATAGTGCAGTCTTGATGAGCATAAGACACATTTATGTTTGTCTGTTTGCGTTCAGTAAAAATACAATGCACATAAAATATTTATGGACAGAGTTTACTGCCAATACTTGATCCAGACTGCACCTGCTACAGGGTGTGCATGTAATTCAATGTGTTTCTTTTATCAGCCTAAACCTTCAAGATCAGTTTAGGAACAATGTTTCCCTTTGGGATGTGTTTTACTGTAGCCTGGCATCCATAAATGTGTTAAGAGGGAAGATGTTTTCCCAAGAGATTAACCCTTAGGATATCCCCTGCACTGGAAAATAGGCTCTCAGCTGATTTAACACACAAAAACACGCACACACTTATCCACAAGTATGTGTTGTAACGCCGTAATGCTGGGTAGTCGCTAGGCAACAGTCTTACTCTTAAGCTACTCGAAACAAAAGGACACACTCAAAATCTTGCTGTGTGCCGAGTTATAGAGGATCTTCAAATAAAGGAGAGTGAGAAGCTCTAAATCACAGATTCATCTTCAGCCGAGCTTTCAGTGGAGCAGCCATTAAATGGGGTATAGTTCATCTAAAAAATGTAAATTCTTGCTTCATTTACTATCTTCATGTCGTTCCAAAGCTCTATGACTTCAATCACAATGCTGGGAATGTGGAAAAACGATTGATTGAATGGAAAAGAGCATTGTGTGCATTACAGGTATCATACAGGTTTGGAACAACACAAGGTTGAGTTTTAACATTTTAACACCATGTGTATTTTAGCACAATTAGATAGATGAGTGCACCAAAAAGCATATAGATGGTAGATAGCAACTCTATGGTAAAAAAAAGACTTTAGAGAGAGAGAGAGAGAGAGAGAGAGAGAGAGAGACTTGTAATCCCTGTATGGTGGCCTCCTGTCATGTGGTGTTCATTTCTGTCATGCCTTCTTCCTCTTTTTCATCTATCAATGATGGCTTCTCTCCCCTCCTCCTCATATTGCACAACAGCTTCCTTTCTACAGGGCTCAGGGTATGAATGAAAACCTAACCCGTGTCACATGCCACTGGCTGGGGTCAGATGCTCCCTGACTGCTGAGTTGTGCTGCCTCGCCAGATTTTGTTGTGGACAGCCAGACTACTGTCCTGCACTATAGGGCATCAGGGACCGCACCAGGGTCATGTGGTCAGATTCAGCTACAGCAATGAGCAAGAGCACTGCACAGTTTACAGCCACACGTTACCTTTCGTAGTAGTAGGCCCTGTTTACTTCTGTATTAAGATACGTTTTGGTCGATCAAATCACAAGTAGACGAGGGAGACATAGGCATACCTGTTTACACCTGGTATTTTAATCCGTCTCTCTTGTCCACTTGTATGGTGTTTTTTTTTTTTTTTTTTTTTTTTCAGATATTTCGATCTAATGGAAGCATGCACAATTTATATATGGAGAGCAGCTTTCATTTCTGCTCTGATAGCCACAAGACCACGCAGAACGCTGTGAGTGCCTGTTTGAAATCAGGAATGGTGAGAGAACACTGTGTTTGGAAAGATTGGGTCTTCATCAATCCAAACTTGGGTCTCCAGTTCACTTTGTAATTTTTTTTAATATGTTTTAGTTTACCTCAAGGGCATCCAAGATGTAAGTGTCTTTGTTTCCACAGTATTTTCAATTTTGAAATTTTCGGTCAAACCGTTGTCTATCAGATATAAAACTATATAAATACTGTTCGGTTTCTCACACAAACCGCTCGTTTCGTGTCTTAGGCCATGAATGTGTGCTTACATTTACGAGTCATTAAATCATCCCCTATACCTGCATTATATGACTGATAGACAACAACGGTTTGATCGAAAAATATAAAAAATGAAAATACTGTGGAAACAAAGACACTTACGTCTTGGAAGTGAACTATCCCTTTAAATCTCAAAATTCAGATTTTTTTTTTTTTCTGAATGTAAACTCGTAATTGAGTTAAGTCATTAGTCGCAATTATATTTTAAACTCTTTTATTCTGAGGGGAAAACAAGCTCCGAAATATTGTCTTCTCAAAGCCAATGTGATGTTATTAAAAAATCTAATTTTGTGTTCACACACTCAGAAAAAAAAGTACCCTTTTAAAAGGTACACCTTTGTACCTAAAGAGTGCAAAGGAAGCCTATATATTATAACCTTTTTAAAGGGTACCGATCCCAGTGACTGCTTTTGTACCATTTTTTTTTTCTGAGAGAGCAAAAAATAAAATAAAAAAACTACGGAAACCACATGAGGGAGAGTAAATGAGTACATTTGGTCGCACTGTTCCTTTTAGAGAAATTGATCTGTTGAAAGATCATCACAATGACATAGTTTGCGTCCTGCTATTCAAGGGTCAAAAGTAACATGATGTCAGAGGCAAGACATCCAAAATGACTCTTGTTAAATTTGACTTTTCAGTGACAACAAGATTGTTAGTCATCAAACCTGGTGACATATTTGTTTTGAAAACTATAGATTATTTAGTAGCAAGGCAAGATTTTTCTTATTGATATGAATACAAGTGGCCTTATGCACTTTTGTGGTGTTTTTTGTCCTTTTAGAGCTTGACAGAACTGTTGTTGTCAGGAAACAAGCTGTGTGGCTATACAAATTCATCTTTTTATGTTTTTCAGAAAAATAACATACATTTGGAACAACATGATGGTTAGTAAATAAGAATAACAGATATCCTGGGCTTTTCGAAATTAGGACATACCAAATGTTTGGAGTTTTAGCCATGATAACTTCCTCTTTTTGTTTTTTAAAGGTGCAGTGTGTATTTTTTAGCGACATCTAGCGGTTCGCTTGCGAGTTGCACTAATAGCTCAGCCCATCCTCACCCCTCCCTTTCGAAGAAGCTACGGTGGCTTAAACGGGAAAAACATATCGCCGTCTGAGACAGCAGAGAATAGCCAAAGTAAGCCAAGAGTGTGTAACATTGTCACTGTTTCTGTACCACAGTCCATTATAAACCACATCATGGATAAACTTTACAAAGCCATAGTCAGGTGAGGATCAAGGGTCTTAATATATAATATAATAATAGTAATCAGCTGATTGTCTCACAAATTGTAACCAGCACATTTCTCCCCACATAGCAAACCCATAATACAGCGAGGGAGAACCACATGAAACTATGCAGCTATATGTTTTCTAAAAGGGTAAAAGTATAGCTGGCTAATATGAGCTGTTGCTGTGGCTGAGCTGGTTAAAGAGTAAAGCCTGGTTTGAAACACTTCAGGTAAATAGGGTAAAAAAAGTATATGTATAAGTATATATATTTTAATATTCTTTTAGATTCTTAAGTTGTCTGAAAATGGGTAATAATATAAAAATTCAGACACTATATAAAATATTGTGCACACCAATTTTTGGCACAAATAAAATAAATCAGAAAGCAAATGTAGTATTAGCGCATCATTCTGCATTGTGAATTGACATATTTTACATGCAAATTTTGTTGTTTTATATGTTTAAATGGCTATTAAATGCACAGCTAATTCATATTTAAACTATAGCGTTCATGCAAATTCTAAAGCATATTCTTTTAATCTTTTTTGTACGCATGAAAACAATCTCAAAGACTGATCAATATGACAACAGTACAACTGCCGGCTTTTTATTAAATTTAATGCAAAATCAATTGATACACTGTTTGCACCCTCGGCATAGCAAGGCAGTGATGTCACAGTTCAGAAGTGGAAATAGACATGAGGACATGCTGCTATATTAAAAGACAATTAACCCTTGACCATTGACCTCTTCTCAGATGTCCCACAGCTAGTCCTGTCTGTACACATATTGACTTTCATCAGCCCTAACCTGCGGGGTCACGAATGACTGATTGCGGAAACATTTGTATTTTTAGTAAACCGTTTAAAAAATGTACATCGGAAAGATGTTTGCACTGCAGCCATCATTATGCATGCATCATGCATATGAATGAACATATTAGAGTAAACTATGCCAACTAAGCGGATAAGGATGCACAGAAGGGAGTCCAAATATGTAGTGCATGCAGTGATCATCTCCGTTGGGATTCATGTTTATCTGTTTAACCTCCTCTTCGCTCCAGCGGCAGGAATCAGGACACAATGTGGAATGTGCACACCTTGAATCATGACAGAGAGAGAGAATAAAGGAAGGAAAGGAGGGAAAGAGGAAGTAAAGCACATCCACCAGACCGCCACATGCATCTGTGGGATCTTCTTCCTTTTGCCAATTGGCCACTGGTCTACATGTGGAAATGACCAGGATGCTTGTTGATGAATAATTTTGCAGTTGTGGTCTACTTCTAATGGTTTGATTCTGATTTTACAGGTGGGACATATCATTCAACTTTCATCTCAATTATTATGGAATCGCTAAAGTTAATTAACAATTAACTAATTAATTAAATGTGTGAATGATAACAGAATGTGTGAATGATAACAGAATCTCGTGGGAGCCGGAAGTTGCAGATCCTGTACCAAATTTCCAGACTGATGTCTTCCAAACGCTGCATGACTCATACCTGTGCCTAACGGCTGTGCTACGGGTTTGGTGTGATTAATACATTAACATAAATCAATAGTCAATATATTATGAATAATTATGAATTAACAATGAACATTAAAATATTAGGGCTGTTAACCGATTAATTGCATACAAATAAAAGTTTGTGTTTACATAATATTTGTGGGTTCACTGTGAATAATTATTTGTAAATACAAACACAACACAAGAA